ATTTATTCGGCTAGTTATTATTTGAGAATTTATTTGGCTAGCTGCTCCTGCCAGCCAGCAGTCGGCCGCAAGTTCACAACCCATACTGGCGCTTTCAGCATCGGCAGGGCACTATAGCAGATCACACACAAACGTACGTGTAAAGTGCGAGCGTAAGGTGATTGTGGACACCGTGCAAACAAGTATTATAGTGCCAAAGATAAGGAAAAAAACATGATGGGGAGTTGAGCTGTAAGGCTGGCAGGACATCAACCTTTCACCAAAGGTCATCAACCTTTCTGTAAAGGTCTTCCACCTTTCCGCCAGTGGCATTCACTGATTTACCTCGAAGTCATTATGTGTATCTACGTTAATTTTGCGGAGGCAAATAGTTTAGTTTTTGTTTATTACAAGACGTATGTGTGTTCGATTGCGTAAGGCCTGTTACTGGAACGTAAGGCGCGGAAAGGGCAACAAGACCCGCGAGTTGTCCCGCAGAAAGTTAAGAATGGAGAAAGATTTCTCCGTGGATGTGAAAAATAGTACAAAGTGCTCCGTTTTACGATTAATCGGTGGCAAATTTTTTCATTTGTATCTCAAAATTTCATTTAAAAAACGACCAAAACAGACTTTGCCCTGTTTAACGACCAAATCGCAAAAGGCGTACGGATGCATCCACCTTTCTCCCAAAGCGGTGGCGGCATCCATTTATTAAGCTTTTGCGCAATTGCAAACATTTCACAGTTTTTACAATGGGTATCGCCTTATCAGTTAAACCGCTTACAGTACAGATACTTATGATCAAACAGGTAGCAACGAACATCGTAGACATATTACTTAACCGAGTGGCGAAATATTTTTTCGCGCGATGAATTACAATGAGCACAATAAGATCAATGCTCATCGCCGGCAGAAAGGTTTGATGACCTTTACAGAAAGGCTGATGACCTTAAGGGAAAGGTTGATGACCTGTAGGTAAAGGTTGGTTACCTGCCAGTTTTGTAGCCCAGCACACCCAATGTTTTTTACCGTATCCTTGATTTGCCATTGCCGATTTACTGTGCAATCTTCTTGCGTGAGAAGCTTTGGCCGAAAGAAGCCATATCCATCGCTTAACAACGGCCCTTACCAATTTATATAAGACCGCTCTTAAAGTGGCAGTGTACCGAGTATTTAACGGAAGCGCGCAACTGACTTCTGGGGTCTTTCAGATTTCCTTTTTCCTATCGCACTACGTGATACAACAGCTTCCAAGAAACGAACAGATTTGCAAAATGTTTTTCGTGTTTAAAAATTTCATATCTGGTGAAATTTAAATGCATATGCATTAAGAGGAGCCTTTCAAGTCGAGCGCTATATATAGAAAACGTGTTTGTAATTTGTGCGATATCCATAAATCACAATCACCAGACACTCACACTTAACCATAATGACGTACCGTAACTATCGAATTATAAGCTTTCCCCGAAATAGAAGCTCCCCCCGTAATTAGAGCCCACCCTTAAGGTCATTTGAAAATTATAAGCTCCCCCCGAAATATAAGCCCATGGGCTTAATTAAATGCTGTATAGCCCATGTTAGCGAACGCCAAAAAAGTTAGTTTGAAAAACTGAAGCCCCCTCCGAAATACAAGCCCATGCCCGTAATTGGAGCCCACCACGTGAGGCGTTTGAAATATTTGTAACCCTGGGGCTCTCATCCGATAATTACGATATGTTTGTGTTTGATCTGCGATCGTGCCCTGCCGATGCTGCAAACGGCACTGGCAGTATGTCTTACGGTTGGCAGCCTGTAACAACTAGCCGAAATTTCCGAAACAAAATGCCGAATAAAGCAACCGCAAAGTGCGCCCGTGTTTTTGCCCCTTTATGGCGTGCCCTGTCCTGTGTCTCTGAGACCTTTACTGTACAGAAAACATGAGAGCCTTAAAGCTTGAAGATCTTCGGCAGAATGATTGAAGATCATTAAACAAACGTTGACGACGTTCGGCAAAACGGCTGATGGAAAGGTTAATGACCTTTAGGAAAAGACCGAAAGGTTGGTGAAAAGGTTGATGACCTTTAGAAAAAGGCTGATGTCCTTCATTGAACGTCAACCTTCCTGCCGGCTACACACGCTTGCCTCGGACAAATTTGTGTGCATAGTTCTGCATAGTGCAAAAATGTTGTTCGAGAAAATTCTCGATTTATACTGTTTAAAGTCTCTGCAGTATTCGATCGCTGGTATTTGCATAAAATTTGTTTAAGTGCAGGATTAAAGTAGTGTTAGACAGTAGACTAAACTATTGATAATTTGTGAGACAAATAATCGATCAGGGAGCTGCCTCTAGGGATGTTGAAGAGCAAGATAAAAACTAAGACACTGATTAACTAGATACTCGTTGAGTCCGGTGGTTGCCTGAAGTGATCAAAACGGAGCTGAACGGGTTCGCGGTGTCCTTGGCTAATAGCCAAATGAGTCCCGCATCAGATAATAATGAAAAAAAACACCATGTATGCTTAGGACTTTATCTAAAGATGAGCAGTTCAAACACACGTAGCCGGACACCGTCCGACTGCGATCCTTGAAAAATTCTGTTCCTGATTTGGTACAAATGAGTGTGCTACTGTTTTAAGCCTGGAGTGTACAAATCTGCATGCAGGGTAAAAATGTGCATGCGCAATCACAAAATCGTACTAACTTTGCTCTTCTTAATGATCATGTTTCAGTGGTCATCGAAGTCACCACTGGTTACTCACGGCCAAAAAAATTAGAAAAATTAATTCATTGGGCAGTAGCGCAAAAACTAAATAGTAAGTACCAGCGGTGTCAGTAAAAGTGGCTTGTTGCGTCTCTCCAGCACGAATTCAACTGTGCAGAAAATGTGTAACAATGACATAAAAATTTAAATGCCGAGAAATACATTCTTATTGCCATATCGGCATTTGATGCGAACATGACCGGCACGCAAATTGCGGGCGCCTTGGAACTTTTTTTACGGCCCGGTGTTTCCCACTTTTGTTGTCTGTTGGGTACGGATTTTGAATGCCAAAGCGTCTACATTGCAGAAATGAACTTGCAAATGACCATTACCAGCCAAGAGAGCACATAGGAAAACGTCATTCTCGTAAATATTATCTTTTCTTACGTTATCAAAACAAATACCAAATATTACGACAAAACTCAATTTACCTAGCTCGCCAACTACAAAATACGCAAAACAATGACGACACTTGCAGTTATTATAAAAAAAGCAACTTCGCCAAATTCACGGCGTACAGAGGTAACGTGCAAGCACGTCTACCAAAAAGAGCGGACTTGGTTCACTTGTGGTTCCATGGTGATTCCATTAGGTTCCATTGGTTCCATTGGTTCACGGCACACAGAGGTAGTGTGCAAGCATGTCTGCAAGTAAGAGCGGACTTGGTTCACTTGTGGTTCCATGGTGGTTCCATTAGGTTCCGTTGGTTCCATTGGTTCACGGCATACAGAGGTAGTGTGCAAGCATGTCTGCAAGTAAGAGCGGACTTGGTTTACTTGTGGTTCCATGGTGGTTCCATTAGGTTCCGTTGGTTCCATTGGCTCACGGGATACAGAGGTAGTGTGCAGGCATGTCGGCAAGTAAGAGGACTTGGTTCACTTATGGTTCCATGGTGGTTCTATTAGGTTCCATTGGTTCCATTGGTTCACGGAATACAGAGGTAGTGTGCAGGCATGTCGGCAAGTAAGAGCGGACTTTGTTCACTTGTGGTTCCATGGCGGTTCCATTAGGTTCCATTGGTTCCATTGGTTCACGGGATACAGAGGTAGTGTGCAGGCATGTCGGCAAGTAAGAGCGGACTTGGTTCACTTGTGGTTCCTTGGTGGTGCCATGTGGTTCAGAACCAATCTACTAATGTCCTAACTTGGACATTCTCTCATTTCAGAGTAAATTTTCAATTTTTGGGTTAAATTTTTATGGGACACAGAAAAGAAGGTTAAGGGTATGACCCGCCACTGTACATTAGATTCTGATGTGGACGACTGCGTACACTTTAAATATATCTGGGCATGTTTTTTTACTTGTACCCCTCCGCAACCGCATCAGCATGTACAAAGCCGTACTACAAATTGAGCATGAACTGAAACAGCGATAAATACAAAATCACGGTTCACATCAGTGGTAGTGTTGCAACTGTACTGGTCATCATTTTAGTGCTGACAGTGCGCTGTTCCTCTTTTTGCTGTTCCTCTTCCTTTATTTGCTCAATCTGTTCCTTCATATGCCTGGCTTGCACTGTATTCTCTAAGTATCCTCCATGTATCTTGTTGAATACAAGTTTGAGGCTTATCAATAACTGCTCGTATCCCTACTGCATCCTTTTAGTATCTTTCAAATTTTCAGTCATGCGGATAGCTGTCATAGTGGAACTTGGAATACATTCGGGATGCATAAAGGATACGTAGAGGCTACTGCGGGATACTGTGAAGGCAAGTCAAAACACATGCCCGAAAAAATTAACGTGTACTAGCCCTGCATTAGGTGCAGTACATGCCGTCACTGCATGGTACCAGTTTCTTATGATTTTAAATCCACCAAAAAGTTCGCTTTCGCGCATTCCAAAACAATTTTTTGTGGCGTTATGTGTCATTCTAAAGCCGATAAGCATTTTGCATTTGGCCTGATAACGGTTTGAGCGCGTAGCATCCGGTTGTCGCGATATGGACACAAAGTTCAATCCATCGGTGTGTATCAGAATTCCCGTTATAACCCTCACTTCCTGGACGTTGCGCGCATAAACGATTTCACGGCCATTAAGTAGAAATCATTCGGCTGTAGAATGTTGTGAAACACAGCACCAGTGTGCTTCGGAGTGCGCAAAAGCAGTTGTTCTGCTGGATATCGATGTATATGAGTTATGAAATCAGTACCCTGAACCGGCACCGTATCATTTATAAGAGAAGTGACCCGGTTTCATAAAGGGAAGTTTCATTTTTAAGGGAAGTTTCATGAAGCAAAATGCGTATAGAATCACTAAAACTTGCATGTTGGCCACTTGCAGATTCTGTACAATTATCAGAGCCAAGATCCGCGCTTGCCGAATGCTTATCGTGGTCGCGAGTGGACGGTGGAAACTCTGAACGATGTGGACGTTTCTAAGCTTAACACCATCACGCTGCTTGTATTGGAACATCATCTCACACTTAATTGGGAGGATGGGAACGGGGATATTCCTGAAGCCCAACACGATGGCGCTGGAATGGAAGAATAATAATTATTGCCATTATCATTCTTGGAACGACAGTTGACAAGATCCATTTACGGAGACGTTGATCAGCTATTAGAAACTTTTTAGCTTAATTTGAAAACTTTTATCCTTTTTATTTTTGATTTTATTCGGTAACAGTCAACCGTAGAACAGTAACAGTTTGGGATTTCGCGGGTAATTCTGGAATACGAAACTTGACAGACTGGCTAACCTTTTGTCGCGGTTTGACTAATGCCATACCTTTCACTACGTGTTTGAATTAACCGTGTATCTTATATTTAATTATCAAGGTATTTGTTTCTTTGTATCGAAACAAAGACAAAATTACCACAGGGAAAAGTCGACAACATTTTATAGAAGTATAACTTTTTAGACATAGCAGATTGAAATGGAGATGGCTTGGGAGTGCAGACCTTTACAATATCCACGGGGTTCCTATCTGAATGGATTTGGGACGCTGGTCATGGCCGCTCATGATCTTTGTCGAGGAGACCGATGCAATGCGACATATAAACATAAACTGTGCACCCAATACGGTAACTTTAATGAAAACACGGTTTAAAATGTTATCGTTAGAAATCTCACAACTTTTTGGGAGAAAAAAAGAATAGAGTGGGTGAAACAGCAGAATAAGGGCTCCAATCAAACGCTTATTTCAGTGTTATTGCAAAAAGTATGCACAGATTTACTCCTAATTTCCTAAATCTGTATGATATAATTACTGCACAATGTACTAGCCGGTCTCAAAATTCAGCACGTAAAGATAGAGCTAGTACATGCTGAGTACTTTGTTAGCGCTTTGAAAGATGGCCACTACGGTATAACTGTTGCGATGGAAAACTGTGCACCGCAGTTAGAACACCTCTGTTCACCACCTCCCACAAGGAGATTACGGTTGTTGTGACCCTTTATACGAGTATTACTAAACAGTTATCCTGCACCAGCCATGCAAAACCTTTTTAACCGGTAAAATTGTCTACCGTGGCGCACCGTAGTATATAGTATGGCATAAGCGGTGAATGTATATTTGTCGCTGTTTTCTTTCGTGCTCTTCGTCCGGACCGGCCTGCATACTGAAACTGATTAAAACCTAAATGCTTCTTGATTGTGGCCTTACGTATGGATGCCGGTTAACTCTGGTTGGACGTGGACAGAACGCGCGCCGCCGACCGTTGCCGTTGTCGCCGTGGAATACGATGCAATGCGAGTGGCTGACCTTTTGGTAGACTGTGATGGAACCCCCCCCCCGCTTACGGTGTGCGCTAATGGTTACGGTGTCAATGCGAGAACTATCAAGTAAGTGTGCTCCGTCGCATAGCTTTCCATAACAGTACTGGATAACACGCAGGAATAAGCAGCTTGGGCTCATCGTACACGGCAGCGGTTATGAACATGTACCAAGTGAACTGCGGTGACGGATTCACCCAACACCCTTTATCAGCTGGACTTTGGTAATAAGAAACGTCCAGAATGATACCGGGCAGTAATAAGATATGCCCGTAGATCATCGTTCCCAAACACACAAACACAGAAACTCGGCGAGGACGGAGGTTTGCCGCGCTTTATAAGACAGCGGCCAAAACAGTGCCCAACCACGATTGATGCTGATGAGCAGATGAATATGTACCGTAAGGGCTGCGACAAACATACAGATAATTGCAGTTTAAATGTAAATCGTGCATGCCACGCTCCCAACAGGCCACGAAGTATACGGTGAAGGGACAAAAATATTTAGAGGATTAGCTATTCCGACGTAGAGAATATTGCTGCATAACAGTGCAAGGATGTACACATCAAAAGGCCGTAGCTGTTTTCTCTCACGCAGAAGAATGATAAGGACACCACATTTTAAAGAGCAAGGTCACGACTGTCGAACTGCTTAAACCGCGAGATAATGAGGGCTCGCTCGCAGATCCCGTAGTTAAGGTTGAATTCGATTCGGCTGCTGAAATATTTAGCGAAAGATTATTTGCCATGTTGCCTTACGTAACCTGTGCGGTATACTCCACCGTACGGTAATATTGAAAATTCAAACTGAACACACGCTAGCCTAGCGACAAGGAAATTGCTATTGCTAAAAATATAACTTGATTTTGAAACCCTAGTGTCTGGTTACTGCCGTGATATTTACGAATCGAACTGAATGATTGGGAGATTATCATAAATTTATAGCTGAGACAAATGCAAGTTAACGTCGAGACCCTGTTTTGATTTATCGAGAAGCATTAAACGCTTGTGGGTGTTCATTGTAAGAATTATTTGTTTGACTGTTGTCACGTATATGAATGGATGTGCAAGATTCCAACTGATCACTAAATACAATACATGACATGCTCGAATTTCCGGTTCTATTGATCCACGAACGAGGGTGGAGTGCAGGGGGTTTCCTTAAACTGTACAGGGAAAGATAATTTCTTTGGAATTCACAATGTGACGGCAAACATCGATGGCAACATTGCCCCGTTGAGGCACATTATATCGAGTCCCAAGGGGTTGGAACGAAATGTATGTTATATTTTGTTATTGTAACCAAAAATCCCAAGTAGGTGGCCGCATCACTGGTTTAGTCTGTTTCCGCTATAATTTCCACCTGATTAGTCACTGGAACAACCAACATACTTGACATGCAATAGGATCCCGATAACTTCAAGGTCGACCGGCCGACACCGCCATTACATTAGCATATTCAATGATTCACTTAAGTGTTTACGGTCCCATGCTCGCAGTCCCCATCTTGTGCCTTCTCTAAACAATTCGTCCAATAAATGTAGGTAAATGACAAAAATTACCAGTACGAGTATATCCAGAAACGTACGATAACTGAAAAATCGTAACTGGAGATAATTGTCGACGTACGAGCAGTCATAACTGGAGGAATCCAGTAGCGTAGTGATCCATTTGGCCCAGTAAATAATTCGAAATAGCTACGAAAGTTTAAGCAATACTGCATAATAAGTACTCGTAACAAGCACATGTATCATTAGGATACATATGAGTAGCTTTTCGTTACATTTCAGCAATGGTAACCGCTTTCCGTGACATCGGCACTGTTGCCACTGTACATAGTAAGTTAAGTGACTTGGTAGAATGCGTCTGCTTCTCAGAGACGCTTGTGCGGCCGGAACGGCTTAACGGAATGCCATCACAGGTCACCCGCCCAGGGGAAACCAGGGAAAACTAGAAATAACATTACAATAGTCCTCGTGCAGCCTAGATGACAGATTTTGTGACAAAGCGACTGATGATGATTCATGAATGTGTTTTTGCAAACGGTACAGGTACGGCTCGCGGCTGAGTGAACTGGCCGGTGCTGATGAAAGAATTCGGACGGCACTACACCATACAAAACAACGACATCAGAGCGGTGCGTAAACCCTTCATGGTGCAAATAAAGAGAATGGGATCCATGAACATCTGCACATTATACAAAATGGCCAAGCCCGATATCAGCTCGCCGCTGACTTCTGCAAAGTTAGCCACCGTTAATGTCAAAAAAAGCGGTGTCCAGAAGACACAGATACTCATAGTTAAGATTAAGAACACCACAGTTTGCCGTTTTCGGGTGCTTTCCTCCGTTCGCAGACGCTGAAGCGGACCATTGCCGGCCGTGACCCTAATGCGCCATTGTAACCGGCACAACACCAGAGGTGCTGTCAAAATAATTGTACTTGCGCTGACAATGTTAACGACAAAGATCAGCAGCTCCCACACATGCAGAAACGGTGATTCTTCCGCATTGGGATCACAATTGTCATAAACATAATAAACGGCTTTCGTCACTACAATCGGCAATGTCAGGGCGTGCGCCACTGCCCACACAGCTGCACAAACGCACAGCGAAGCCTTCATGCTCTGGGCAGCTCGGTATAACAGTGGCGCATATAACGCGCAGATGCGGTTGAAGGCAATGGATAAATGGGATAATATCGGGATGCAAGCCAACGTCCAGATACCGTAGGTGTACCAAATGCACCAACTGGGCCCCAGCCACCATGCCGGGTACAGCCCGGCCACTATGTCGAGCAGGGCCCCGGACAAGATGTACAGGATGTTACCCAAGAGAATATTGACAAGATACAGGTTGAAGGAGATCAGCAGTTCTCTGCGGATAAGAAAGACCAAAAACACCAGACTGTTTGCATATCAGGGCGGCAATGGCAACGGCGCTGGACGCCATGCTGCGGGCATCAAACGCTGCTTTTACTGTGGCATTGGTGGTGGTTGTGTTCGAAACGGCGGCCATTACAACTGGATTGCTTCCAGTTTTGTCCTATTATGTATGCGATAAGCGCTATTCTTGATATATGTTCGCAGCGGCAAATCGCTGTTCCATCATATCCCGCCAAAAATTCCGCTGCAGTGACGGCGATTTGGGAAACAGTAAACACCGCATGGAACAAGGCTAACAGATGCCTGATCCGCGAGTGGCGATTAATAAATTATTTTGATCTTAACACAAAACAAAATCCGATTAATATAATTGTTGTGTTGCTGTTCCCACTACAGTTACTGATGACACATGCATGCACAAAGTTTGGCTGCGCGGCGGTTTCACCTCACTCTGCAGAATAAAAAGCGTAAGAACTGCTTGACGCTTGGAAGCACCAGCTGCAACGGAAGTGAAATCCGCCTGCATCCAATATCCTGTGTGATGTATCCAATATCTTATACTTAACCAAGCAGAAGTGTATCCAGCATGTCCAACCATCCTGCATGCAACATTAGTAAGATTACTTCCACGCCCTCATCAGCAATTTATTCCAAGAAATTCTTCTTCTTTCTTTTCCTCTCCCCTTTGCAGTATCGCAATTCTGCAGTTTTATTTCCTGTCATTCATATGACATCCTTGCATAGTACTGATAATTCCACAGCTAAACTGAAATACTGCTTTGACTGATGATACGCACAAATGAATTTACCGCTACTTCGCTAATAAGCATTACGAGGGATATTCGTATGGTCGTTTAAGAGAAACACTGTGATAAGTGAATGAGCGATGGTCGTTTAAGTGAGACAAGCGAAATATTATTTTTCACATACCGATTTTCTTTTGGATTGTTTTATTTTTCCTCACCCGAGTAAACAGGATGTACACTTTACATAGTACTTGAAATTTTTTAAAAAGCTTGAACCGTTTTCTTCCAAACAAGTTGTAAAGAAATCAGTACAGGATCACACCAAATCGATTGGTGCAAGATAACAATCGTGCTACTGCGAATGCAATTGAAGTCCGAAAAATACCGTAATAATTTCTCCTACGCATTCAAAAAATGGCATTTAAACAATAATTTTGGTTTTAACATTACAGCTGTCCTAAAGGACTGCAGGTAATACAGCAAAGGGACCTAATTCCCAAAGTCCAGAAGCTTAGTAGCTATTATGGCTTACCAATCGCATATTTGCATACATATGTTGCGCAGGTAGTCAGTTATCATCCCTGTCATCCAAAACCCACGGCACAATGAATTTCCATCCATTCCCGGAACTCCTCCGAGTCGACGAGCATTCCCCAGACATATGTTGGGAAAGTAACCCACCTGGGATGAACAAAACGATTATTCTGCCCATTCAGTTAGTGGCTGTTATTACGGACTTACGGTATCTTACACTTACAGCGCTATCAAGGCGGCGACATTGATAGCCGTCATGTACAGTGGTGCTGGTACGCTTTTTGACTAACTTCAACACGGCAATGTTTACGGTGTTGCCAAGGGTACAGTAAACCAGAAGGAATGGATATGCGAATCTCCTTTTGGAGTCGATCGCATAATGCGATCGACTCGAAAAGGTCCAATCTGCTGGCATCGGGATCGCTTGAAGCAATACTGTAGTATACCATCTGGTCAGTGCAATTACTCGCCAGTGATTCGTTGGCGATACAGCCATCGGGAATGTAATAATCCGATGTATTATTCATGGTGATATTGGTAGATGACCTTTGCCCTTAAAATTGCACTAGTTCTGGCAATGACCGCTTAGAACGCACAAAAGGAAATGGCTGTACAGCAATTAGCATAAGGTACCTAATCTTTTATTCGATGCAAGTTTGTACTTTGGATGATGCTGACCAGTAAAGTTCAAATCAGCGCATATTGACCAAAATATGAGACTTATGCCACCTTGTAATATAAAATCTGCAGTATTTGGATAAATTTTTTTGTTTTCCGGTAAGTATTGCTAATTTTGTGTAATAATCATCTAAACCAAGTATGGGAAAGCGTTCCGTGACGTCTACGCGCGCAGATCAAAGATGCCGCCCATCGCGCACCTGAGATACCGATCTTCACTCTGATCTTGAGCGCTGGCCTGCCTGTACGGCAGCTGCGTTAGCGATAAAAGAATAATTTTTATTCGCTCTAATTTTCGTTTACACAGGGCGTCGACACATAAATAATATTTTCATAAGTTTTTAAGTTTAGAAATTTTCGAATTGCAGTTACGCTGGTTTTACGAACCAGAATCAAAATTATGCCGTTCAGTGCTCAGAACATACAGCTGACTTCACTTCAGCTCGCACTGAATCCGCGGATATGATCTGCCAACAGATAACCATGCGATGCAGCATATCCGCGATCAGCATTAGAGATGATCCTTATCACAGGTGCGCGATGGGCGGCATATTTGATGTACGCGCGTAGACGTCACCGAACGTTCTCCCATACTTACTTTCGATGATTATTACACAAAATTAGTAATACTTACCGGAAAATAAAAAATTTATCCAAATACTACAGATTTTATACTACAAGGTGGTATAAGTCTCATATTTTGGTCAATATGCGCTGTTTTGAACTTTACTGGTGAGCACTGCTGTAAGGTGTACACATAGCAATTGGTGGAGTCATATCCGTTTACGCAAAGCAAACTTCGGTTTCTGAGCGAGCCGTTGCCACATCGAAATGAATCACGAAGTCTGTCCGGAAGTTCGACACTTCAAGCCTTGTTGCTTCCGTGAGCCAGATTGTGGTAAAAAGCTGTTGGTAAAAGCGGCACAGGAACCTGCCAGTACGCTGAGCCATGAAAAAGTGACTTTCCTCTTTTGAGTGGGTTTCCTGTTTCCTTATGACACAACGCAAATCCGCACGTGCAGATAGCCCCTGCACCGGTTCTACGGTATACATCGTGCGTTAACCAATAGAGGTAAAAAAAGCTCAACGTAAGAAACAGCAGCCTCGACACATATACAGAAAGAAAGCGCTTGAGATTGACGGCAGCTTACTAACCAAAAGCGTTAAAGGGAGATTGCAGAGGAAGTTTAAAAAGTATGTAGATAATCTCCCGGATATTGGCGGGTCATAAAGGGATTCGTCTGCATAAATAAAAGGCGCCGGTGACGCTTTAAATGCATGGACTATTAATTCGTCTTGGCAGTGGATAACCTCTTAATTAGTTTGTGTATTCTGCTGAGTTATTAACCGCAGATATGTATGTGACAAGTTGAATCTGGTCGGTAACACGTTTAATACTGACCTGCCACCGAGTGCGGACAAAGCAACTGAATATCGACAACCTAACAAGATTGTTGTAAGAAAACCTTAAAAAACCTAAGAAATCTTTAAAGGAAACTTTAACAACATGTGATATTCAAGACTTCATCTGGAATATAAAAAGGACACTAACTCAATACCCATGCCATTAATTCATTAATTGTGGACTGTTACCCACACGATTAATTATTCATTTTTGAAGCGGTACACCTGAACACCCATGAACTGGTACATATTACGCAATTTATTTGATTTTACATGCGGCCGGGATAATACTTTAGCGGTAACCAAAGTTAAACAAGTAATACGAATTATCATTCCTACTCCAGGCCACAAGTGCCATCTAAGACCACGTTTCATGCGTCACTTTTCTTTGTTACGACTTAAAAGCAGCAAATACTTCGTGCGTTCAGCATATACAATGCACTGAATGCAGCCACTGAAACCCATTACGGACAGCAAGGATTATTTCTTATGATAAATTAGAAAATAACTGAAGAACTGTTACTCTAGGTGTCCAACTTTCCACCATGTTAGCAGGAATCATTTACCGTCATCACTCGTCAACTTGGAAATAATCCACCCCATCATACCACCTCCAACCTCCCGAAACAATGTCTTTCAAAGCTCGCAGCGTGAGCGCGGTTAGCCTGGACAAATCTACATCTTGGGTATTCTCCACGGTCCACTCGCGGTCGCGATACTGCGTCGTTGATCGCGGATCAGAACTTTGCCAGTCATTCAGACACTGCACAAAATCAATATCCAATTTTCAGGACCTGATCACTTATTCCCATTAAAATTTATTACCAAGGAGCCTAGGTGACAATTTTGTATCTCAGCTCTCAGGATAAACTGTCCCGTGAGTGGCACAACTCAAACTAATACAGTGGAATTTCGGCGAGGGTAAATTAAAAACTGATTAAGAAGGTACAACAACTGCCGGTTTTTGAGTCCTTTACCATGTACCGTAATTATTGAACTGGAAGCCCCCCGTAATTAGAGCCCACTCTTAAGGTCGTTTGAAAGTTATAAGCCCCCCCCCCCCCGAAATAGAGGCCCATGGGCTTAATTAAATACCGTAGAGCTCATATTAAAAAATACCAAAAAGCTGGTTTGAAAAATTGAAGCCCCCCCCCCCGCCCTAAATACAAGCGCATTCCCGTAATTGGAGCCCACCCCGTGGGTCATTTGAAATATTTGTAGCCCTGGGCTTCTAATTCGATAATTACGGTAATCCTTGACCATTTAACCCGAAAGAAGCCACACTTCTTTAATGTTCAAAGTTTAACGCAGTGTACCAGGCTGCCAGCATTTGGGTCTATTCTTCCTCTTGTCAATATACATTGACACTAGGTAGGTGAAATACCTTAATTTTATTAACAACAATCTCTACTGCCGATTCCGTACGCAATGTTCGCAACTTCCCACCTTCACCTTATCTTTACCTTAGCCACCACTCTGCGCAGTCCTTTCGGCCCGGTGTGAATCCGCTCGGCCAATGTCTTGACGTTCACTTCATCGCGCGGCAGACGGGTCTCATAGAGATCCCACAACTGCGACTCAACATCCGGCGCATCCAGTTGGACCGCAGCCTGCGGAATATCTCCGTGTATCTGGTCGCTGCAACTGAACTCACTCTGATACAACCGCAGTTCAGCACACACCGGTGCCAAGCTGTGGAGTGCCACCGCCAGACGCCGGATACCCTTGTGGACGCTGCCATCCCACACAATCATCGGGCCGTCTACGGCGTCTTCCTTTAAGAACAGGCCATCATAGACGGCTTCCACATGGTGGAAGATGAGCTGTTTAATGCGAATATTCCGCATCCGCAGCATCCAGCCAATGTTCGGTAAGACGCATTCGACGTTGGCGCGGGGCATGTGCTGGACGATCAGATGCTGCGTTGATTTATTAATGCACCTGAACATACCACCAATGACGCCGTACACCTCCGCGCCATTCTCTGGATCCTTGGGAAAGAAGGGGTTGGCCGCGAAGGACACCCGAACGGTTTTGCCGCTATCCGCATCGGTCAAGACGGAATTCCACAGTGGGCACACGCGACGCAGTTTCCAACGGCTGACGCTGTCCAGTGACTGGAAGATCTCGCGCAGAAGATGGGCCTCCGTGGGAATTGCCCCTCCCGTCTCCGTGTATACGGCTTCCGCGGAGTGTCGGCGTTTCCGCGTCGCTGTTGAGGGCAGCGTGTCAGAGTCGTCCTGTTGGTCATCCTCCCGGGTCTGCGACTGGGCAGTGACCTTCAAGACCGCCTCGTACGCCTTTTTCTACAAAAAAAATGAGAAAAACAATTAGAAAATGATCGCATGTGAAAAGATGTATGTATTACGTGGTCAGACTACAGAAAGTTCTAGAGCCCTGCGTGAGCGCTGAGCCTCGGCTCATTTGGCTCGCTAATAGCGAGCGCTCGCGAGTCAAATGGGCCGCCGCTCGCGAGCCGAATCAGCGAAATATTATCTTTACTACCAGTTTGTCCACGGGCCGAGCAGAGTTGTTGGTCATCGACCAACGAGTGAGCCGAACGAGCGGCGCTCAAGGAGCTCGAGCGAGCTGAGCAATACATTTCGTGTTGTCCCTGAAAAACTGCGCTGCGCGGCACATGCTGGTGACGCTACCAGTCACTCTGGAGCATCGGTCAGTATATACCCAATCGAAAAGCGCGGGCTTGAACAATCTCGTCGAAAAAAACCTATCGTTTTCGCGCCATCTCATTACGCCATTGCCCGTTGGTCTGCATCGAGCTGCCTCTGCTGGGTTTGTTTCCATACAAATAAAATAATACCACGGGCTTTGCCAGTTTGGACTTTAGAGTCTCTTATCGAAAACCATAAAATGGGGTGCATTCAGGATATAACTGACAATACTTCAATTATACTTGCAATGTCCACATGACAAAATACTAGTACATGCGCTGATAGAAAATACCTTTAGTTGAGTGAAAATTTAAACACTGAAAATGCAATAATTTTTTATTAATTTGCTTGTGAGTTAACTGAGCAGAAAAAATGATCTGCTTTACGAGCCGAGCGATCTGAGCAGTGCAACATGCCGAAACGAGCTGAACAAGCGAGACAGCACGAGCGAGCTGAGGAAAAATTGGCGAAATCAAACTACCATGAGCAAGCATTTACCGCTCACGCAGGACTCTAGAAACTACCTAAATGATTATTTGATTTACGTACGTATTATGCTGTTTGGTATAAATTACCGGCACGCACCACGTTGTTTTCCTTTAAAGGATGATCAGGACGTCGCTGAAGATACTTGAACATCTGACTGTGAACAGACACAATACACACGTAGTTCTTCCTCTCGATTTCCTTACGAAAGCGATCAGCGATCGCGGATGTGACGGTTAACCAATAATCCTTCGGCAAACGACACTCTCTCTCTATGAAGAAGTTTGGCCTGCGCGTTTGTCTGTCCAGATGTTTCTGGGACGGCGGGAAACGCACCTGGTGTGCGGGGAACAATTCCCCTTGCTGCCCGCCATCCTGCTCGACTTGGACTACGAATAAGCCGCTGTCTTCGGGTGACGAAAATATGGGCTTACGGGCAAGTCGACCCGGATACCACATCCATGGACCGCCCGGATGAGCGCGCCACAGCACCTGCACGCTGGCGTTCTCCGTCACGGCGGGACTACGCCGCAGTTCTTCGTGCCAATCTCGGTACGGCCGCGAATGCGGGGCGAATGATGCGTGGAAGATTTTATCGTGGCGGACTAACTGCGCTCGCTGTCCGCTGCAGTGGAAATCCACGATCAGACCGCTCTCCGCCACGTCGAGTGGTCGACCACTTCGCCGTGCTGGAACTGTCCGCTCTCCGTCAGCACATCCACCGAATTCCACTGGTACACAAGATCAGAGGCAAAGGATTTTTCTCCATAAAGATGCATTATCAACTACTCAATATATCAAGCTACTGGTTGTGTACAGCCATCTTACAGAAAAAAACAAAGATCGCGGTTGACGAAGGCGAAGGAACCCAGAATTAAACTTACGATACTGTAGAAAAGAATAGCCCAACATGATAAAACTGCAAACTTCTTTGGCTAACTGCTCTGCCGTGCTCAAACACACTCGTACTGTCCCATGTACACCCCATTACGCTCGGTCACCGTCAGAGGGTGGTTGGGCATTGCGCAGACTTGCCATCTGTTGCAAGGAGCGTTGCAGTCACGTCGGCGGCACGTTGCCATCATTAATATCACATTTGTTCGTTACATAGTGCTGACTTTTTCAAAGGCGCTGAGAAAACCGTCAGAATCAAAGTTCTTACTCCATAAGGCCTACTCTAGGGTCTAGGAACGTTATGGTTGTACACGGACCACGGTGTTGGCCGGTTTAGTTGGGACGTTTGGCTGTTTTCTCAAGCCCTTGTGGCTGCAATTTTGTTAGTATTTAATTTAATAATGATTTCAAGTTGAAGTTGGTACTGAGGCAACGAGAAAAGAATAACCTTCACGGTCAAAAGAAACGAAAAGCTTCGATGATGCCACGCCTGCCCATATGTGTGCTGCAAGCCTGCAATCGACAAGATGCATTAACGAACTTAACCTGCAAGACTTGTGTGGAGAAAAACTGCATTTTAATAATTAAACTGCATTTGCTCCGTTTTAAACTGCATTTGTTCCGTTTCAGATTACTTCCAGTGTTTATCCTGTTGATGAGATAATTCGATCTAACTTGGTAGAGGAGTGAAAATCTCTGAAAATAGAACACACAATGAGAAGCTCATAGAGCTGCAGCGTAGGAACACATAAGTACCCTTGCGGCTACCAGCTGGCAATGGCATCAATCCTTTTCCTGGCAGAAAATAATGCGCACGACCATGTTTCCCACCATTACTTTGTTTCAAATTTACTTGTTATACGAGGTTTACAAAATACTTATCATGCACCAGTCAAGCTAAACCCGGTCAAATAATCTAGCGTGACTCGCCGTAGCATATAGTTTGGCATAAGCCATGAGTTTATATTTGTCGCTGTTTTCTTTCGTGCTGTTAATCCGGACCGGCTTGTATACTGAGACTAATTAAAATATATAAATGCTTCTTGGTTGCGATCTTTACGTATGTAAGCCGGGTTATCCTGGTTGGACGTGGACGAGCCGCCGACCGTTGCCGTTGTCGCCGTGGAATACCATACAGTGCAACTGGCTGGCCTTTTGGTAGATTGTGATAATTCAATTCTCTCACATCCTGTGATCAGCATCGTGTGAACTTGTTGTCGGTACGACAAAAGTAAAAAAAGTCACAAGCACAGTAGTTATTATGGTTTAGGTTTACCAATAATTATTGGTGGAGTCCTATCCGCTTACGCAAGCAATCACCGGTTTTTCAATTAGCCGTTGCGACATGGAAATAGATCGTGACGTCTGTCCGGAAGTTCGGCACTTCAAGCCTTGTGGCTTCCGGGAGCCAACTTGTGGGAAAAAGTTGTTGGTAAAAGCGGTACAAGAACCAGCCTGTACGTTGACCCATAAAGCCTGACTTTCCCTTCTTGTGTGTGTTTCCGGTATTTCTACGACATGATGGAAATCTGCTCGTACAGATAGTCCCTGCACTGGTGCTTCTTCTGGAATGGCGGTACGCAATGTATATCGTGCGTTAACCAATAAAAAGGCAGCGTAAGTGATATCGCGTTTTTGACACTCTGACAGAAAGCCTAGGGGACACGACCGCTTGAGATTGTCGGCAGATGACAACCCAAACGTTAAAGGGAAATGGGCAGGAAGTTAAAAGGTATGTAGAGAATATCTCGGTTAGCTGTGTTGCTATAATACGCTACAATATATATTTATTCTTTTGAGTTATTAAGTAATGATATCTTTATGGTACCAAACAAATTGCTGTTTGTGTCAATTATTGTAATTTAGGACAGTATTTATGTTTCTCGTGAAATTAGCACAGGAACTCAGTGACGGTTCAACAGAGTACGCGGAGAACCTAGTGCTGAGTCTATGAGAAAACTTAGAATGATAATCGATTTACGCTGTTCGCAACAACTATCGAATTATTTGGCACCAAGCGACCTTTTGACTTTTCCCCTTACCTTTCACGATGTTGTCGCAGGAGATGCTGCGACTCGCTATGTGTGGCGAAACGACAGAACGCGAGCAACCGTGAGCGTTTGTTGTTGAGCAGACACAAAACCAAGAAGAACCGAACTGATATCGGCGGCTACGCCGATATAAATATGAAAACAAACATGCCCGGAAGGGCAAAGAACACGTATATCACGGGTGTACCCGTGACACTACCCGGTCTCTCTCAAAAAGGCTCAGCCACCTGAGCCGAAAACAGGAATAAAAATGAAAATAAAATGATAGGCACACGGTTGATATAGAAAAAGGAAAGAAAACGTAATAAAGAACAAAAATTGCTAAATAAAATAGAAATGGCTTTAGAAAGGCCATCGTGGTCAGCCACCCACGCATGGTGCAGTCTGCAGCCCTAAATCGTGATAAAATAATTTATAATTCAATTAACGGTGATATGGGCGCTTACGAGATGGACGGGGAGGGGGATATTCAGGATCGTCGCGCGCTTGTCGGGCGTCTTCTTCTTCCTCGATCCATTCCATATCCTCGCGTCGCTCCTGTTCTGCTTCCTGGCAGTCGAGGTGTTCCATTGCTTCTTTATGGCGGTGCTCTTGGGTGACACGCCAGATGACTGTGGCTTCCGCCTTCTCCCATTTCGCCACCTTCAGGCGCTCGATCTCGCGAAAAACAAGCGTTGACTCTCCGCGCGCGTACTCTAGGGCGCTTTTCAGGATGTCGGGAGTAACGCCGTCCGGTTGTTTAAGATTCATATAATGGGCGGCGGCAATGCGGATCCGTTAGTCCGGATCAGGTCGGGCCGGTTGATC